CCCTTAAAATTTCAGCCTTCTAGCTTTTCAGATAATCGAGTTAGCAACTTACCCGAAAAAAATTTTGGCGGGCCCGTATGTGGGCACCACGCATACCCGGAACCTGGGTTTGAGCTGGTTGAGACTTACATGCGCGGGAAACATCCCCTTAAAATTTCAGCTTTCTAGCTTTTCTAGTTCGCGAGTTTGCCACTTACTCGCAAAAAAATTTCGCGGGCTGGTACGTGGATGCCACGCGGGTAAGACTGCCCATTTTGCGAATGGGGGCCCGTTCATACGTGTAGATTATGTCCCCAAATTTTTATTCCTGTAGCCTCTGTAAATCTCGAGATAAAAAATCGGTGCAGAGGCCCAACGCACGCACCGACACACACACACAGACAACCTCTCGTCAACATGCGTTTCCCGCATTGCATAGCTGCAAAAAACGCATAAAAGTGCCGAGGTAATACCAGAAACATGTCGCCATGGTAGTGATCCTCTCGTAATCTCGACCAATAGATAAAACCATGATTCCAGATCGTCTCTCCTTGCAAGATCCAACCTCAAATGCGCCTTCAGCGAGCCATATCGTGTTGTTCCACGCCAGCCGACTTCGCCACGAGACGGTATTACATTTCCATTCTGCAAATGAAATAGAAATTACTGTTTGATATTTTCCAAAAAACTCCGAAGAAGTCAGTCTCATACTTTACGGCATCAGCAACGATCATTTGGAGCGGACACTACCCGTTGTCAGTCATGTATAAGCTTCACTATAAACCATAGTTTCTTACCCAGTACCTAATAAGTTGCTAATATAAAAGCACCTTGCAAACGACCGCTCGGGTAACCACATATCATTTCAAGATACAGCGGACTGATCATGTCTGTTTTGAAAATTCATACCCTCATTTTTTACACCTAGAAGTTATTACTGCGTGAACTTTTGATCTACAAGAAGGAGTCAGTTCGATTTCGTTATTCCTCCCTTGCCATTTCGTCTAGATGCTGGGCACAGTTACGAGTTCAGCCTTCACTTCAATTAAGCTTTGGGGACCGGACAACTGCCCCAGTACCATAAGCACCATGTTACATACCATTTTGCGGTGATCGATTAACGGCGCCGTAAGCCGAATATGGATCTTTTGTCTGACTACTTTGAACCTTCGTTTTAGGATGATCGACCTAGCACAGAAAATCTTCATAAGTTCTGCGGCATGCCTCAATCTACATTCAAAGAGATACCCGGGACTACATTTGACTAACTATCTTGTTATTGTTTTTTTCGCGTGTATACAATAATATAACAAAAATGCCCACAAAAAACGTGTAAATGCTTTTTTATGGGCATTTCTATTACTTTCAAAAATCAAGACTCTGTCGGTATTTCCCCTGTATAAGATGCAGAGGCACGCGAGCAATAGCGTATTATGGGAGGAAATGCAAAACAATTACCTGCTGGCAAGTCTGCCAAAGACACCCTCTTTTGAGGTTGTTTACAAGCAAACTGATGTCAGGCTTGGACTACCTGGCTTATGTCGGTATCAGTTCGCCATCAGAGAGAATGTACGAATTGCAAATTATCTCTCCAAAGGAGTTTAGCCCTCCAACATGCACCATGACAGAAGTACTACTTCCTATCACATCATGTCGGGTGGGGCAACCAGTTGGGCTTTTACTCGTTCCTTTTTTTTGGTTCGTAAATTGGTCTGGTATATGCCAGGGGAACAAACCCGCCATCAGCTCGCTTGTAAGCAACCTTCGAAGGGAACCATTGACAGCCAGGTGATTGCTGCTGTTATTTACTGTTACTCGGGCTAATTCTTAAACGTTTCCGCTCACTCATGGAGAGAATTTTGGCTTCTGCTATGCTAATGAGTGAATTTCTCTTATGTATGTATTTGCCATGCAGGCTGCTTGTATTTCTAGTTGACTTATGATTTCGTAACGTAAATCCGAGTAGTCAGCCAGTTTCATATTCATTAACTAAGTTACATAGTCAATTACCGTCCATTCGGCTACTGAAATGAATCTCCTATTTTTTAGAAATAGTAAGTGTCATTTAATTATGCCAATATACGATATATTTACGAAGCCAGAACCGAGCACATTGATCTGTTTATTGTTTTGAACGAGCGTTACAGAATGATCGCGTCAAAGTGACACTGCAGGCCATTCTAGTGATGCCTTGGCAGTGCTGATACCCTGGACGCCTGTCTATCAGTAAGTGATTGAGACTGCTCAAAGGATGATTGCAATGCAATGTTTACGTTTGACTACCTTGTCGACATATTTTTTTGCAAGTCCAAAATCGATCAAAAATATCGTTTTGTGTTGTTGGTATTCGCGCAAGCCAACCATAAAGTTACCGGGCTTAATATCGCGTGATATAAAATGGCTCCTGTAATCCAGAGATATTTATCAAAACTGTACTGAAGATGCGTTGCACCCCATCACAACACAGGACGTGCTGCTCACTTAGTCAATAACCGATGGACGACACATGAAAGTCGAACGCATTTCAGGTATACGTACTTGTTTAGACATGCTAACCTAAACGAACATACCTGCTTTGGTAGTATGCCACTCATTTTCTCTGTGTATCCTGTTTGCATGGGCCACGCACCTTGACTTCATGTTATGCGCGGGAACATGTGCAAGCATTGTATTCTGGACCATTATGCAATCGCAGAAGGGAAAGCATATAACCTCAACTACTATTGGGTTCTTCTAGGAGTTTACTTGCCGGCCAAAGCGAGTCGCACAGCTCCCCGACTTTAACGTAAAAGCACTGAGGCTACCGGCCCCCACCGCGTGGAGGTCGGCGATTACTCAGCACGGAATTACGGTTGCCGGTCTTCAACTGCTCTTGGTGTATAGGGACATCTTAGCAACAGTACTAAATGTCGAACGTCCACACCGATCACATGGGCTGTCTTCATGGTACTGTATGGCAGTTGCCCTTTGTCAGTACTGGTTAAACAATGATTTATCAAAATCTGTTTTCATCTGTGCTGGAAAGTTAGCCAAAATAATCTGCTACTCGTATGACAACTTTCTGAGACCTAAAATACGAAAGAGCTACAAATCTCTTTTTCTAAGGAAAATATGACCTTGTGAGAATGAAACTGAGAAAATGGACCAAGGTATAACACTGAAAGTCACAGAAAATTCATAATAAATATATTTTACACCGCGCACCCGTAGCTAATCCGTGCACTGCCCACAGCACGTGTATTTTACATTTATTGTTTCTTATTCACTCTGTGTGATACACATTATGAGCAGTAAGTAAGCTGCCTACTAATGCATTGGGGAAAAGGCTCTGCAAAATATTCCACATTCAAATAAAGCACCGGCGGTGCAAAACAGAAGTACTGTAGTGAGCTTTGTATATATTACCGATTTCGTATGAGTTCCGTTTGCAACGATTTTGTTTCCTTAATACTGATCATCTTACTAGGGCATTGTCGACTTTGTGGCGATTGTTATTTGGCAGGGCTTTCGGCTCCTTTTGCACTGCTGGTCATATTTGATGCTAACTTGGAAGAGTGACCCAAGGATGGAGAAGTTTGCTTAGCGTGTAAAATGGCGAGGTTTCTTCCAGAGTGGAAGGAAGAAGTTCCTTAATTGAGGTTGTTTGACTATTCGTTTCCTGAAAACACATTATGGTGGACGGTCGGTTAATCCCCGTGTCCTGCGAGAAAGAACCCCACTCGCTTCGCCACTGCTCGCGCACACCGGTACTCTCGGTCTGTCGACTGGAACTCGACGAGACTGGGCACCGCGTTTGCTCACAACTCCATTTTTTTGGTGTTTGGTCTCACCAGGCAATGACGACAGCTTCCAAGTATTATTTATCAGCAGGTGGCGCTCACGTACAGACTTGCGCTGATCAGTTATAAATGTGTGTGGTCATCATTATCGTACGTAGTGGACGCTTAAGCGACCGCGTGTTTTGTAAGTAACCGTTGGTGGGATGAGCGAAATGAGCGGAAGCAGTGTGAAACCAACAAATGTAATTCTTCGATAGCTTTCAGTGTTTGCAGGCCCACTTGTATGGCGGTATTGAGCGAGAATCGCCGATCAATTTGCTCGTTGCGTAGTTTGTGAAGATCCTTTCCCAACAGTGGCATCACTATGAATATGTAATTCGGCTTCTCTGTGCCCTGCAAAATTCACAAAAATGCAAGCTCCATATGGTTGAACATAAGTAACTGCATTGGCCAGCTCATGTTTTGGTTTGGTCAGCACTCCCTACACTGTTTATTATTCACTCTTGAAACCAGTCGCTTGTCCTTTCGAATAGCACCACTTCCTTATTCGTCAGGATGGTGAGTAATGTAAGCAGCACAAAAGGAAAAAGAAGATGGCCTTTTTGTCACAGGCATTTCGTTCTATTTCTAACTGGATTTAGTGGCACTAATAAAATCAGTTTGGTTCAACCGAGTTGGGAGGCAAGTTGCGGCGATCGGAGAGAGGGGAGGGGGACGAAGTGGAGGGGTAGAGGCGAAGAGAGGGTGAGGAGAAGAGGAAGAAGTGGAAAGGGGGAGTCACTAACTCAAAAGGAGTTCGCTTGGAGGTAGGAACTGAAAACTTGTGGCTAGGTTTTTATCGGAGAGGAGACTATATAAGTTTTTTGTGCTCAACGTTTTTAAACATAAGCTGAGGCAAAATTAGCAACCTGATGCCCGACATCTTGTTTTGCGTGCCGTCACTGTTTTTGCAGCTTGAACCCGTACTCAAAAACGAATCTAGATTTCGCGACTGAGCCGAGCTGGGCCGAGTTTTAATAATTACTTTGTTGAAGTTCCCATTCGAGTCGTTTGCTGTGAGGCGTGAGGTCAAAGAAGGCCTTTGTGTTGTGTTGTTTTTGTACGTTTCTACTACTATTTTACGATTTTGCTCATCTATTTTTTTCTTTTCTTGATAAAGATTATTGATTCATTGCCCTTTCCAACTAGTCATTTCCCTTCACATGCCATTTACTTCTCCTTTGCTAATCCCTGTTGGGTTTTTTTGCTGCAATTCGATAAGAAGTTTGATGGACCACAATGAGGCGGTTATATTTCACGTCAACTTTCTCTCCCTTCCACGTTAGATTCATACTCGTATGGTGCTGCACATAGTCCAGTTCTGGCTGCTATGAAAATTTGGTCGTAGACTCACGTAATCGATGAGCTCACAGATGTGCTCGCTGTGCCGACGCGTCGCTGCACGTAGCACGCTGGCCTCGACGTGCAACATCGATTTGCTGTACTTCTCCACTTTCACTGCCACACGTCGCCTGCAAGTAGTAGGGGTGAAACTGCATTGAGAAGCAGTTTGTACTTTCATTGAAATGTGCAGTTGCGCATTGACACCCGACCATCAAATTTTTATGCATTCCTGTATTTGCATACATGCAAAAACATAGACCCCGAAGTGCAACGGAGCCGTGCGTTTTTCGCTAAGCTTGCAGCAGTCAAATCGTTAACAGCAGAAATGGTTCTTGCGCTGTGGCTTAGTCGACATATAGGCCTTTTGGTTGGCCGGTGCATTACTAGCAAACGGATCATCGACAAGGAAACCCTGGGCCCTTGCTGCATCCATAGGCGGGTCCAGAGCTATCGCCTCGGAGGGGGGGGGG